GCGCACGGTCTTCTATAATGGCCTCATCGCACCGCACGTCCGTAATGGTGTACACGTAACACTATATCCTTAACCCACCCCTTCATCAAGACTACCGAATAACGACCATGTCTGCGTGTACTGTCGACGACCGCAGAATCCGGTATTGTGCATCGACGACGTCACCACCATCACCGTCGTTTCGCTCTGTACGGGGCGGTTCTGCCAAATGTTAACTTTATTCCATACCTACGTGAAAACATAGTTCGTATAGTAATCAGATGATACCCTTGGAATTCAAGGATTTTCATATGATCATTGGTCGTCTTTATTGTGTTTTTTTTTTTTTTTTGTTAATTTTCGTTTAATCTCACGACATGTTTCCAAAATTAACATTACCTTTTTTCAATATTCCAATAAAGATCTAATTCAACATATCATCCGTTGTAGAGTATTACCGTTAAAAGCTAATCAAATAAACCGAATATTTTATAAAAACTTCTTTGTTAAAATATGTTGGATTTGATCGAGCAGTATAATAATTTAACTATTAGATCCAATTTAAAGTTGGGTTTCTCTTTTTGCATTCGATACGATCACGAAGGAATACTTATAGTACTCAAAATATTTTCTTTTGCTACACACAAAATACCGTTTATTTTGTTCTATATATCAACTGACTAGTGAGTAAGGTTGTGATGAATTGAAAATTTACATCTTGAAAATTCTTATGGAGCACTATAACATTTCGAATTCCTTAAATTATGTAGGCTTAGGATTCTTAATTTGCTCTTAGCCCACGTAATAACTAATCCTTGACGGAAAAATGAAGCATCGTGTTACTCTGAGGAAATAAACCCGTTGTAGTTTAAAGTTGGAAATTGGCCTCCTGCTGATTCATTACAACCCCCCTACTCTCAAACATTTGAAATTAAGTCTGTGATATTAATTTTCCCTGCAAGACCCCCTACTGATTTATAACCAATTGCTGTAGTTTAAACCTTTAAGTCACACTCGATATATCTCATATATAATTACGTAATGTTTCATCACTGCAATAAACATCTTATACGTTGATAGGTATAATGCGAATTATTGCATTTATTTAATTTGCAATAACCAATTGTCACTATATAATAGCAAGTGAATATAATATTGTAATGTAAGTTTTCTATAAATACCTTTGAAAACAAATTCCACACTAAAATCAACACTATTACCTTGCACGTTTACTGTGATATACTCGTATGTGTAAACACCTATATATCTCAATCCAATTCCGTATAAAATTTAAATAGTTTAACGATTTGGGTCAACCTTTTGTTTTTTACACCATTTTAAACTTATATACCTCCCGCCGATCGTACATGGAAACAATTTTAAACCTCTAAAAGCTTAAAAATCCCGTACATCGATTTACCATTGGTTTCACAGGTCTAAAATTGGGCCCAGCTTAAGTGTGTTTCCTGATTCGTCGGGATTTTCGATCATTTATTGTGTCCTCTACCCCCCGTTAATGTATCTCTCATTTTTACACTTGACTACTTCTAACATTCTCCTTGTAGCATGAAAACCCACTGCGGTGTCACTTTTTTTCACTTTCTCTTTGTTATTAACTTCTAGCCCTTGGGGTGACGTATTAACGGATTTCCAACAGCAGAACAAAAAAACAAAAAAAAAAAAAAACGCCGGGGACGTTAAATGGCTCGTAAAATTGGAAATTCTTCGTTCTTTTGACAACCCCCGTAACTCCGTTATAAATATCATTAAGAAGTATTAAAAGACGAACTTTGTCCTCCAAAAACTTTTTCAATTTCTCTTCTTATTTTCGGGAATTTTTCATTTTATTGTTTGACATATTAAATGTTATAATTCTTTTGATCACAGTCACCAACATAATACTTTTTAACTTGTTCGACATTTTAAAAAAGTTTTTTTTTTATAATCGAAAAACTAGACAAATAATATTATTAATAAATAACTACTGACTTCGTTGTTGGACTTTAATGGGGAAACTGCATACACTGCGTAAGAAAGATAACAACTAAAAAAAAAAAAAAAATGAAATTCCAAAGATAATGAAATGTTATTGTTTTAACGAATTTATCATTCCATGATGACATTTTCGTTTATTATATCTACTCTCTAGTTTGTTGAACACAAGAATTCCACGAATAACTGCGAGTGGAAAAAAGATAAATGGGGCTTAATTTTTGCCCTCTGACGATACGGGGTAAATTTCACTGAAAATTCACATATTATGCTAATTGTTACTGAATTAACGTAACTTTTCATAAGATGCGCATGTTGAAAATTAAACAAACGTTCTTAAGAGTACGCTTTTAATCGAGTAATTACTTAGGGTGAGCATACAGCCCCCATCTATAACACAAACAACACTAGTACACGTACAATTACTCGTACATATTACTAGTGTTGTCAGTTTCCAAAAGTCTGCGAATGAAATGTTTTCAAGGCGCAATTTGCAAATAAATCGTATAGCGTACCAACTACCGATTTTATCAACTTTAAACTTGAGCATGATAGATATTAATCGTAACGTGTTAGACTCTTAGTTTTAGAATAGTTTTCATTATGATTGCCGATTATTTTTTTTTGTGTAATAACTAAATCGTTATCAGAAAAAATATAAAAAAAATAAAAAATACACAAAATAATAGTGAACCCATTTATTTTTAAATTAATTAATAAATAGGAAGAAACGGCTGCACAGTCTTCTTTACGTTATAGCTATGTAGTACTATATTGTTCTCATCCGACGGAAATATATACCGAAACACGGTTTGCAAAATGAATAAAAAACATATATAAATATAAATACACGTTTTTTTTGTTTTGTTATTGCTCCACTTGCCGTCGGTAATTAAAATAAGGAGTACGAAATGACAAATCATTTTGGAATAATACAAGCCTTACTTCACAGCGGAACACATTAATAATGAAAAAGAATAGATAATTATAATTAACCTCCATGCTCAGGAAACACGCGGACCGTGTTAATTAAATTAAAATAGTTTTTTCTTTTTTATAATAAGCAATTTTGGTTTTCGTAGTACATCTAGGAACAACTGTATTAATTATACACCGAATTCGTTGCCGGCTGTGCGTCTGTCCAATGGTTTTTTCTCACAACCATGGAAAAACATGGCCGCGCAATAAATAATGTATTACATTAATAATCATCTGAACGTACGTCCGGCAAATGGGAGCGAACGAAGACGAGCAACTCCTTGAAAACCTCCCCGGAAGATATCCAAGTGCAATTAAAACACGTTTACCCGGGGCTTCATACGCATGCAACGACATTTCCTTCCGGGGTACCCGTAGAATCGATGGTACAGGTATATTATGACAATTGATATTGTATTTTTACTATCGTTGCTTGTCCAGTCTATTATGATGTATTCGTGTATAATGTATCGTATTGTAATAATATAATAGCCAGACGTGTTTGCGCAAATGTATCGGTAGCCGTACAGCGCGTTGGCGAATTCCCGAAAACAGGCCTTCGGATACAATTTGGCTTGCCGTCAAAATATTTTCATGTTTACAGTTTTAACTTTATGATGCAGAAACAGCGAAAGTCAATCCTACCGTTATAGACGTCGTTGTATTGGCGTTCTACGGCAAGTGGATAATATTTATGAATAATAACGTTTTTACGACTTACAGACGTCTATAACGGCCACTTAAGAATGTACGTGTACGTACATCATATAAGTCGACGACGATGTTCGCCCTCCGACGAGTCTGTGGGATGAAAACATTTTTCATTATTATAACTCGTGCCCTCTGTGAAAAATAGAAATAAATTGACTTGTCTTGACTCTGCAGCGCGGTCGTAATTCAAAATAAAACTGGGAATTTTTCAAAAGAGAAACCTCTTGTCGACCGAGAAATTGTTAGCTAAAACTCGTTGTAATATGCAAAAAAAAGTATCCACTGTAACTTGTGTGTAAAAGCAGGGTTTATTCCTATTAAATAAATCACATTCGATCGCCAGTCGAACAAATGTAATACAACAAAGAATGGTGTTCGTTGAATTAAAAAAAAAAAAAAAAAAATTGCAATGTTAAAATTTTTACTAGTAATTATGATAATGCTGGATTATTAATTAAAATAAAAAAATAATCCGAGGGAAAAAGGGTGAAAAAATCGAACATTTAATTGAAATGATGTAAAAACGTGATGAAACTAATTTTTCCATCGAAATTGTAATGTTAGTAATAACAGTCGCGTATGAAAATGAAAAGGCTTTCACGCGATAGGATGGCATTAATGGTCGAATGGTAAATTCGTCATTAACCAAAAAAAAAAATAAAAAATAAAAAATTCACTCTCCTGAGTGCGTGTTTTTGTAAGAATCTTTGTTTTTATACATAAATAACACAAAAAACGTATATTGTAGACATTTTACGATAAAACATCGATAAATGATTCGTGTTTTGTACATCGTAAACGTGCCACTAACAAGTGACCGTGTACATAGGTATAAAATCGAATGTTATGTTCGTCACAGATATATAAAACACTAGATAGCTAACCTAACCATTATGCTGCTGTATAATCCAATGATACCGACGAACATTTATATGGTAGTTAATGTTTGGATCAGCTAAACATTTTAATTTGTTATCATCTTCGTAGTAGTTTAATTTTACCGTCCACCGGTCTTTTACATATTTGTTTAAATAAATTTTTGTAGTTTGTGTAAATGTGTATGATATTTTAATCATAAAATACCGACTACTTAATCTACTTATCACATAAATCACACGGTTTATACATTGACATACATCACACGTATACCGTCGGCTACACAGAAACGACTATGCAGTGTTTTATAACACAACTGCTGTGTTAGTACCAAAATCGTATCAAACCGCTGTGCATGTTCATGTTAATTTCGCCGATCATGTTATCGATTGACTAAAATAGATTGCTGTTAACGAGTCAAAATCATATTAATCGTAATTTTTCCTTTCTGTGTGTCTGTACAGGTCTCTCTGCTGGGCGGAGCTGACGAATCGGTGAAAATGTCCACCAGCCCTACGTTGACGTTGGACACCAGGAGTGCGGTGCATTCAACGCCGGTTCCGGAGATGACGACGACAACTACGGCAACGACAAAAACAACGACGATCATGACGCCACCAGAATCAACGAATGTTGCTGCAGTCGAGGTTATGGCCGACGTGGACTGGAACGGCCCTGACGAACCGGAGACCGTGGCTGCGGTGGCCGGCGAGGAGGACGTGACCGCCGAACTATCCGCTCCCGTTGCTGTGGCCACCGGTTTCGGGCACGCCGAATGGCAGATGCTAGCTGTGGCCGGGGCCGGCATGGCCGCGGTACTGCTGTTGGCACTCGTCTTGGCCTTCCGCAGGACCGGCGGAGGATCTCCTGGCCTGCACAAAGTGGTACAGCACGATGACGCCGAGTGTCCACCATTGTTGGACTACACACCCCGACCTCTGGACTTCACCAAATACTTGGGTAAGTGTTTCAATTGTCGCCCTATTGTTGTGTATTAAGGGGAGGTTTATATAATACTCGTTGTATACTGCCGTAGGGCTTAGAGTTTTGAATTTTACTGCTAACATCGAATCAATTGTAGGTTTTTTTTTCGCCGATGCGTTAAATGAGAAATTATATCGGGAGTTTAACAGTGTAGATTACACAGAAATTACTAGAATTCAATATTTAGTGTTATACCAGACTTACGCCTCTTTTGGTGTTGTGTTTTTTAAGTAAGCTGCTCAGTCGACAAAAACTATCCGTGTCTTCCATGATGTCCTGTGGCTTTAAGATTTATCAAGATCCTGAACGTGTACTTAGGTCGAAATCCTGTTCTATATAGAAAATATTTCTGGATGTATCTTTATTGCCTTTTTAAATAGTGCACTATTTATTTCGTGAATATGCGTTTGAGAAAAGGTCAAGGATTTAGTCGTTTCTGGAAAGATACTGCGAATCGTCACGTTTTGAATGACCTCAATTAAAGTATAATCAGAAAGTTGATTTGTTATAATTTTGTTAAATTGAAGTTGTCCATATCGATAGTGGAATTGAGCATTTGTACTAAAAAGTACTAAATACAAAGCAGCTCGTATCTCTTTTTTCCTGACGGTTTTGGCGTAAAAATAGAAGGTGAGATTTTTGGTCCAAGATGGGGTGTCCTATAAATAATATTATAGTACTAATATAAATATATATCTATGAGATTACAAAAATAGTTTTTCAAGCGATCCGTTTGACCGCACAACCGTTCGATTTGGTTTTTGAATTGTCGTCGACTGTTCGATTTTTCATGTTACACTCGTCGACGACATATCAATCGAAATTAAAAATCCTGTTTGCGATTGATCGACACGAAAATTGCGGTATGGGGTCTTCCACTTCAATTACCTGTCGCGAGGGTTATCATTTAATAACCGCGAGGACGAAAATACGGATCGAGGGCCTGCGACCTTCCATCGGTCATTAGTGGGGTATGATATCGTGCGAACCGTTGTACGGGGGATTTAATTAAAACTGATTAAAATAAACGACGCGTATACATATACACAAATATTTACATTCGTACGCATACGTGTACTTTATGTGCATACAAATTTATAGTTTAACCGATCGACGTGAAATTGTGAAGGTTGTAAATATCGTGCGACAGTGATGTAGAAGCGTTGTGCACAAACCCGTTGAAAATGAGTTCGCGTTGTACGTATACTGAGATAGTTACGTGAGGATTTCGCCTAAAAAACGATTAACGAACGGTAAATCGACCACCGTGGTGTAGTTACTTTTTTATGGTATCAAGACAAACCCACACGTGCATTAAGTTGGGTAAAAGCTTTGCTCCGTGGTCGCGGCCGCCGTACGAGAGAAAATTTTACACTTACTTTTGCCAGTGGTTTCTTAATTTAAGGTGCACGTGACGCTGTTGTATTTTTATTACGGTGTGCATTCAAACATTTTGTTTCGCCTTTCTCTTGGACGGTTAATGGTGTACCCATTTAAAATGTCACTCAACCCTTTTCACATTTGACCAATCGATTATTATACAGTCTTGTCAGTGACTCGGGATACTGACATTTAAGCATGTCTTCTCACACTGCTACCGCTTACGTTTTCGGCAACACTCGCATCAACCCTATTACACATATGAGTACACGGCAATAGATGTTTGGGTGGTGTCTAATATCGACACGAACTGCAGCGTTGTGATGTCGGCGAATTATAATTATAATTTTTTTTTTTGTCGTGTACAGGTCGTTGCCGAAGGTCTCATCAACTGCTCGACGAGGAAGCTATACCTTCACACCTACAAGAACCGCGAGCGACGCACATCCGACACTAAAACGTGCAGCGTGTCTTTCACGCATGCGGTCATCACCATAATGTATACCGTTTCGTTTCGCCGAAGTCCTAACTAATGTTTTTGTCCCTTAATTCTATTTTGTTTTGTATAAATAATTTATGTTGTACATACATTTATATAGGTATATAATACGCATATATATATGAACTATGTATTATGAAAATCTCGTTGTACATTTTATCCTAATTTTCGCGATGTATATAATTACATTAAAACGCGAGTCGTAAAACCTCGTAAATATTAATATATTTCGTAAACTGTTAAAAAAAAATCAAAGTTAAAGTAAGTCAAATTCGTGTGGTTTTACTCTCCATACGACGTCGTACGCGTTCTAAATCTAGTCATGTGAATATAATACATTACATTTTAACTGAAATAAAAATGACGTCATCTCACTTCACAATATATTATAACATTATCATAGTAATATTATACTTGTAAGTGGTTGTAATGTTCACTTAAAATTTTTGTTTTGATATTCTTACGGTTTTCTTCTCAACGATACTTCCCATTGCTATTTTCCATATCTCAAAAACGATCAAAGTTAAATCATCTTACCTCTCATATTGTATACATTTTTTTTTTTACACTGTTCTTATATTATATTAATAATAATATATGCTTAGGATTATTTCTGAATTAATTTTAAAAACGCTTTTCATTTGCATATACGTTGTTTGACTTAAAATATCATATTATGTAATATTTATTGTACATAAAAGTGGCGTATTGTAATCGATGTAAGTTGATATATGTTAAGCGAATAATCGAAAATAAAAGTTTTATGATTACAAAACGTGCATGTGTTCTTGATTGCAAAACGATGCGCTTCCGGTTAGACTTGTTCTAAGTATTTCCCGGCGAAAAGCGTTTTCCGACTCAAAACGTAATTTAGGTGTTCTCGACGATCCGGATATCAATCGTGTAAACAATGAGTGAACACCATCGCAGCCATAGCACCTCGGACCGTTATTGCGACTAGCGATGGATCGAATTGTGCGAACGATTTTTGAACCGCCTCATTGTGGCCATGCGCGTGTTTCACGAAAACACTGAAACACCATGCCGCCCAACAGGGATCCCGAAACACGTGAACAGGAATTCGTGATCGGTGCGAGCGTTTTATTCTCGTCTTGAACCGAATATCACACCGTCGGCTAAGGTTCGTTTGCACAACGAAATTACATTGTCTCCGACTCTGAATTTCGGACCCCCCCTTCCCGGCGGAACCGAACCGAAAGCATCGAAATTAACGTCGACCCCATTAAACGTGCAACACCTATCGAAGGGCGGATCCGGCGACTGTTTACGGTCGTAGCACTTTATAGAAAATATTATCTAGTATAGCTGATCATAAGCGTATTTAGGGGTGTCTTGGGGAGGCTTCGACCCCTACCCAAATGTATGTCGTATTGTACTCAAACAGCCGAAATTTGTTTTTATAATTTATTGTTAAGTTCTTCTTAATATAATTTATTTATAATATTAATTTTTTACAACGGTGGCGACTCCAGTGTCTCCCCACATGGACCCGTTATTGCATCTGTCCTCACGTTTTCACCGGGAAATTGTTTCTGTTTACCGTTCGACCTTGTGAAAAACAGACTCGTTTCTAATGGGCGAAACAATCTAATACAAGAAACGTCTCGGACGTGTCAGTACCGTCCCTGTTTTACGTACCTCGTGCACCCCGACCGTCGCCGGAAATAAAACGAGTTAATCGGCTCGATCGCGTGGTTCGCTCATAATTACGTTCACGGTAGTCACATGAAAATGGGGACGGTCGTTGTGCCCTTCGCCTACCCTTCGGCACCGCATGATGTTGTGCGACGATAGAAATCTTAATTGGCTTCGCGATCCTTGTCGGTGTCTATCGCTTTTCCAACCCTTTCTTCTGGTTCGGATACTACGGAATCCCGTAAAATGTACGTAGGCGCGTATTGTGAGTACGGTACTCGCGTACGAATATCGACTACACCGATGACGACGATGCGACGGAATTGAAACTGCGTACGTCGGGACGATGGCCGATCGTTGCCGCCTGCATATCGCCCAACATTTTATCGTCGTGACCACCGCGCAACGGTAATAGCTCGAGGTACAAGAGTCCCGGTGGACGATGTTGCCCCTAAACGTTGTTCGTCCGCTGCACGCGTGCAGTAGGCGCGACTTGAGTTCACATTTCGAGGGTAAAGTGCCAAGATAACACAGACCCGCAGTGGCCACGCCCTCATTTACTAATTTACATACAGACTGTATTTGTCACCGCTCACTTCCTGTTGGTTCATAGGTTTCTCCTATTCGGTTCGGATTTTAGCAACAAAACGAATAAACGCGATTGTGCGTACCAAATTTTGATATTTAGACATTTCCGTGTAAAACGAACGCCATAATACGCCGAACAACAACTTATTAATTGTTCCGTGCACGGAGACTATATGATTACGGTCTACGTCAACGATTCTCAAACTTTTTTTTTTCGCGTATCACTTGAATATATTATCAATCAGTAACGTACCACTAATAATAGAATCATACAAACTTTACATAATACATTTATTTTTAACATAAAGGCAGTAAAATACTACGATAAAATTATTATTTATTTATTAATAAAAATTTATTATTATTTTTAAATTAATATAAGAGTTAAATATTAAATTTTTAATATCCGTTCTACCACGGCCTTCCGCGTACCACCTTATAGTCTTTCACGTACTACTTGTGGTACGCGTACCACAGTTTGAGAACCGCTGGTCTACGTCAATCTCAATCACGGAATTGTGAACTTCGTTATTTTTAATCTGCGAGGGCTATGAAAATATTTGGTAGGACTAAAGTGAGCCCTGAAGCTACTAGTTGTGCCCGTGGTAGATACATAGTACACGCAGGAGTAACGGTGTATACGTCGCGGAAATCGAGCAGGATACCATGGTCAAAGCCGTAACTGTGGGGGGGGGGAGTCCGGACCCCTGGACCCCCTCCCCCAATTTTCAAAAGTAGAAACATTTTAGCGGTGAATATAGTTTATTAACTATAAATTGTATTAAATATTAATGTTAAACCCCCCCCCTCGACATTTTTTTCCAGTTACGGCCTTGACCACGGTACTGTATATTGATTTCGGAACGCAGGGTCGTGACGACGGCTTAGGAAGAGTCGAAAGAATGCCGACTCGTCATGACTCCGTGAAAAAAACGACTCCTCGAATAAAATATGTGTGTTACATTTATCGCAAACGATTGCTCGTTCTTCTCGGATCATTATGAGGCATAAATACAGCTCGTCAGTGTTTAGGTATGATTTTTATTTCCATTATTATGCTTTTTAGTAAACGTATTTTGACCATTGCCGTTCGATCGCTGCACGGTGATCGATTGAATCGAAAACGGTTGAACGCGCGAAGATTTGGACGGGAAAAAATTTCGCTTAGATTTCAAATGGACAGCGTATCCAAAACCCATGTTAATATCGAGTCGATTTCGCGTTTCAATGAACGTTTACCGTATAAAAACACTAGGAGTGAACGTAGAAGGAAAAAACTACTAGGCCCGCTGAATGGTATTACCGTGTTAGTCAGTTAACCATCTCGTAAAAACGATTCCAAGTGAAAAACATCGGGTATCTTATGTATATTTATGTTTCTAAAGATGGTTGATGTAGTAGAAGAATTAAATTTCTTAATAAGATGGGTTAATGGTGGGTTTTAATGTTATAAGTTTCGCATAAAAAAAAAAATAACCCATAAAAGTGTTATTATATGTCTTTTTGTGATACCAAACTATAACCGATCAAAATTTGCAAAAATCGAAGTGTTTAAAAAATGGAATTCCATTCAAATATTTCAAAACTTTGATAGGTTTTTAAAATAAATGCTTTTACAAGCTCTCAGTAAGTGTTTCGAGTCGCTATGATTAATATTTATAAAATAACTACCAAATCACTAATATTGTAGAATCAAAATTAATAGAAAACTTTAAATTATTATTTGAAATTTAATTTTCTAACGCTCGAGAAACTATTTTGCAACGTTTTGGGAAAAAAAAATTGTTGGCTAATAAAAGCTTACGAAAACGTATCTCTTTAATTTTTAAGCCTAAAGTATTGAAATTGGAAATGTTATGAATTTTCAATAACAGATATGTAACGGGTTGTGTGATTTATTATCGTTTTGTCAAAAATTTAATATCCAAACGCCTACAAATTTTTTTTGAAATTAAGTTCAATGTTTTTTTTTTTTATCAACCAATTAATCATTGAAAGATTATAAGATTTGTCAAACCAAAATAATTTATATATTGTCAACATATACAATAAACGGCTGTAAGAAAAAAATATATATATAGTGATGTAAACATCCAGTGAAAATTTCAATTATCTACGTTTATAAATGTTTGAGTTGTGTTTGATTTGATTTAAATGTTTGATTTTATTAAAAATAAAATCTATTTTGTCGAAAAATGGGTGAACTTCAGAATAATTTTGATGTACTAACAAGACAACATTTATGTCAGAAAACTCTCACGGCTTTATTAATACAAGCAATCCTTCTAATCAAAATTTTGTTCACAGAGATGAAAAAAAACACATACACACACATTACGAGCAAACCGATGCACTTTTGTTTCATTCGAAATCTAAAAAAATCTATAATTTATTGTTCTGAATTTAAAGTATAAGTATGATTAATTACAAACATTTTATTTATTTATAAAGGTACTTATTGATCTTGATCGTTTATGTTTGAAAAATGGACCGAAAACAGAAAATAAAAAATAATTTCCTGATTTCCGTAAATATTTAATCGTATATATTTTAAGTAACTCTTAGTTCTTTGTTTCATTTGTCCTTTTCAATATTTTTTCGTTTCTTCCAGACAGAAAGTGTTTTTTTTTTTGTAAAAAAAAAAGTGTATTCTACGGAATAACGAAATAATATTAGTGGACGGTGGCTCCGAGTGGTCTGATGACTTTAAAAACTACATATATACCATGCGCGCAGGTGTGTGGGATCAGTGAGAAGATAAACGCATAGACTTACTCGTTTCTATAGGATATACGCACGCGAATAGGATTTATTCGGCCGTTTCGTCTAGTTGAATATAATATAAATCCACATTACGACGACGTGAGAAATAGATTCGACGACGTGGGCCGTTTCCAGTTCCGCGTCCGCGCATTTATAACCTAACTTAAAACGTCATGTGTACATGTATACACGGCTGGTGTACACTTAAGGATCGTTCTCGAAGGATTTCTCTTTTACAAGCAA